AGAGACCGCCGTGCGACGTCCCGAAGGTTAGAGACCGCCGTGCGACGCCCCGAAGTTTAGAGACCGCCGTGCGTCGTCCCGAGGGTTAGAGACCGCCGTGTCATCCTGAGGGTTAGAGACCGCAGTGCGTCATCCTGAGGGTTAGAGACCGCAATGTGTCGTCATGAGTGTTCGTCTCTCATCTCCCCTCGTGTCTCGTGGACAGAAGACGAGCGACGAGGACGATTTCTTCCATGTTCCAGGAACACAAGTCTGCAGCTCATCACTCCCTCCCATGTGAACCTTCAAGTGAAAAACCAATAAATGCTCTTCTTGAACGATCACTTTCCTTTTCTTTATTTGATCGTTTAACAGAAACGTTTGAGTCTTCTGTACAGCTCAGCTGACGCAGGTCAGAGTGGCTCACAGCAGATTTATTTTAGGCTTTATATTAAAAAAAAACAACACAAAGAGACAAAAGTTGCTCCTCCGTCAGAGGTTTTTGGAGTACCGCCGCCTCACAGAGTCCCTGTAGAAGAGGAAGATCTTCTCTGAAGCTTTCTGACTCACAGCTAAACACTGCTGCAGCTGTGGGAGAACAAACATCAGCTGAAATGAAACAAGTCAACCAGAGATGGCTCGGCTACATAACAGATACAAACCTCATGAACGGAAAACGACCCTCTGGTGGAGGACATGATCGCTTTGCGCTCTGAGCTGTCGATAGCAAAAGTCATCAAAGCTCGACTTTCCTTAAAAGAAAGAAGACAGGAAGTGATGAAAACTGACTAAAGAGACTTTAAGAAGTCACGATGGGCAGAGGTTCAGCAGTCTGTTGAAACTATCTAAAAGTTTCATTACAGAAGCGTTTGGAGAACCAAGGAGGAACCAGCTGAAGACACTTAAAACCCTCTGATCCAACCGGAGCTTTAATAAAATGGAAATAAAATAAAATCCAACTAAAACCTGCTGCCTGTGTGAAGGGCTCAAACAGAAAACACCTGGGAGATCTCTGAACACGCTGAAACTGAGACGGTAGAAAAAAAACTAGTGGAAAACTAACTGTAGCAAAGAACTAGGTAAAAGCTAAAAGTGAAAAAACTATCAACAGCTAAGTGTTAGCTACATGTAGCAAAAGACGAGCTGAAAGTACCAGAACTTAGTCTTCATGTAATAGACAAACAGTAGATAAAACCTAAGTTTAGGGAAAAGAATGGTTAAAAGTGCCAAAACAGAAGTCACAAACAGCAAAAAGCTAGCTAAAAGTAGCTAAACTGGAGCTAAAAATAGCATAAGGCTAATCAGCATATAAAAGCTAAATTTAGAAAAATGTTAACTGAAAAGCTAAAAGTAATCAATATTGGATGGTGGTAATCTTCAGGCCCTTGGGGGCCACTGCATTAAAACCAGGCCTGGTTCTGTTCTGGACCTCGCTGCATTAAAACCAGGTCTGATTCTGGTTCTGGACTCAGGCACACTTCCACAGATCATCATCTGTAGACACCGTTCATCCTCAGATGTTGCTTAAAGCTCTGTCAGACAAAGAAGAAGCCAGATGGCAGCATGACTTCAGTTTGGAAATTTTCATCTGAAGGAACCACGAGACTTCTGGACCAGAACCAGATCAGGAGACGTATGTTTACCCAGAATGCACTGCAGCAAACACCTTATTCCAGCTGTCAGCACGGAGGTGGAGGGCTAATGGTTTGGGCTCCTGTCAGTCACTGAGTGGACCAGAACGACTATGCAGACCAAAGGTTCTGAGTCCAACAGCTGAAGCTTGGACCAAACTGGGTCCAACAGAACCATGATCCAGAACACAGCAGCTGATCTACAACAGAACGGGTCAGAAAGAACAGAACCAACGTGCTGCAACAGTCCAGTCAGAGTCCAGAATCTGAACCTGACTGAGAACTGAGCAGAAACCTCAATGAAGTGAAGCAATGTTGGAAAGAAGAGTGGGCCAGAACCATGAGAGAGGCTGATGAAGTCCTACAGAAAACACTGAAGGTTGAGGAGGTTCTACAAGCTGCTGGACCAGAACCTGGAACCAGGTTTTAGATAAAGATGAGGTGGAACCTCCTGTGTGTTTGTGTTCACCTGACATTGGATTTGGATCATTTTAGAACCCGAGCCTCAGATTTACCTTCTCCTGAGCGGCCGTGGGGTCGGTGACGATCTGCCCGTCTGCGGTGATGGCGCAGGTCACGCCACAGAACAGGCGGCTCATGGACAGACCCGCATCCATCAGAGCCATGCAGGCTGCATTCAGGCAGCAGGCCAGGAGCTGAGGACCGGGTCAGGAACAACACCCGCCAAAATAAAAGCGCCATGTTTTCCCCCAGTTCACAAAGATCTAGAGAGCATCGGTGAAGGATACGGAGCCGTCGTCGTGCAGAACCTGAAGGATGAGAGTCAGCGAGGAGCGAGGATGAAGAGATAAGAGCAGCGCTGCCTCACACGTTTCTCTCACACACTGCTCCTGCGATCGCTCCCTCACACCTGAAGAAGAAGAAGAAGAAGAAGAAGAAGACATGACGCAGGAGACCGGCTCCACCTGGTGCTGTGCTGGAGGAAAGCAGCTTCATCCTTAAAACAAAGTCTGTCTGAGGACCTGAAAATACTACGAGTTTTAAAAAGGAGGCAGCTGGACGGTTTCTGTGGCTGAAGACATTCAACTTTTTAAAGGAGAACTGAGCCAAGATGTCTTCATCTGCATCATTTTTAAAACTCGGGACTTAAAACTGAAATTTATTTATTATCATTTGTGAACCTGCTGATTGGTGCATTCTTCACAGCCGTGTTAAAAAAAAATCTATTTTATGTTTTGCTGCATTAAATGATAAGATTTCTAAATACAACAGCGTTGGTCAGTGTAGGAACTAAAAATATTTACCTTTCTACTTGTGTTTGTGAAAAAATGTCCAAATGAATAAATATTAAGAGAAAACAAAATCAAGTGTTTGTCAAAAACTTCGCAGGTCATTTAGGAAAAAACTGTCCATCAAATGTGAGTACATCTTTGTGAAATATTAACAGTAATGTCAAAACTACTTGAACCTCTCTCCTACTGCAAACATTTCAGTGTTGACAAGTAAAATGACGACTCTAACAATAAAAAATGAAGCTAACCAGCCTGTCAGCCTAAAAAAAGGTCTGCAAGGTTAAACCTTCTATTTTAAACTCCTGACTTTCCTCTCATGTTTCTGTGAATATTGATGTAATTATAACAGTTTGTGTCTTAAAGGTGAGACGAACAATCTGCTCCAGACTGTGAACAAAAAAAAAAAACGCTGTTCGGCTCAGGACCAATCTGTTCGCTTTGAGATGTCGTGTTTACAACATTCATTCAGCACATTAATGAGCTTCAGTCTTCAGAAAGGTCAAATTACCCGGCAGGCCCACTTTAGGTTGGATCAGCACCTCCAGGGTCGCTCGATCGTAGATTTCCTTGCTGACTTTGACCTCGGCCGGTCCATACACTCCAGCCATTACGCACGTATCTCCTCCAGACAGGAAAAACAAAAGCATTTATACCATTATTATACGTCTTATGTCATTTATTATTATATGTCTTAACAATTATAAAGTTGCATATATTAAATGTATGCTGTGCCTTTTATGAATCCCAAATATGCTTTACGTTGGATTTTTTTAAATGGCAAATAAAATGAATCATAACACGAGCAACAAGACCAAAGAGTCATTTCAGAGCTGAGAAAATAAAACATAAAAATGTGTCCTAAACACATCTGAGGTCTGTTAAACACCAGATTCAGAAGAAAAGCTGCGAGACAACTTCCCAAGGTTTTATCCTTCATTAGAGTTTCAAAACGTTTATCTACACAGAAATTAAAAAACACTTGAAGATTCACATTACAATACTGTAATGTGATTTTTGTTTGAGGCGACTTTAATTTAACTGAAGTAAAATTGCAAAGAAATGCAATTTACCCGCACAAGCATTTCTTTTTCCTAACATATAATTTCAAATTTACCTCCTTAAATATGTTTCATCACATACAAATAAATAAACTCCTCAGACTGATTTAACTTAATCTGAAGTAGCTACGGATCCAGAAGATGATTATAAATCCGATTTAAATCCAGAAAAATTAAAATAATAGTTTATTACCCTGAACGAAAGAAGCTGAACCATCAGGTCGAGACAGTAAAGTTTGTTCACAGCCAAACTCTCTGAGAAAAGCAGAAGAAACAGAGACCTCCATCATGCTTCTACGCGGTGGTTTGTTTTGTCGCAGGATGATGACGTCACGCGTTTAACGCGCTGTGTGAACAATGTTCCGTTTTTTTTTTAAATCTGACGTATTTATTCTGCATTTTAAATACTAGATGACACAATACTTCGTTATTTTCTCTTTAGTCGTAATACACATAATTCATATATTTGTACGTACTACTGCTACTACTACTACAAATAATAATAATTTATTATTTGTAAACTGGCCTACGGTCACGTGTTGCCAAAAAGCCGCTCCAACTGTCGTAAAGCAGTTTACGTTCCTTTAAACTCTCCTGGCACGCGGCAGTTGCTCCTTTTTCTTCAGTTGTTCGCGGGTAGAGCGCTGAAGCGTTAGCTTGCAGAGAAATGAGTGAGTACGAGCTGTTTTTTTCTCCCCAGTTTGAAACACTAATGCAGTACAATAGTAAACTTAACAGCCATTATTTTGTACATTAAACTTTTATTACCAAACAAAACGTGACATGAACACTTGATGCTCATCGTGCGGTTAGCATTAGCATTTAGCTGCCGTTAAGCTAAATGCTAAAAGTACAACTTTCTCCAAATACGTTGCGTCATTTAAGGTCATTAGTGCTTAAATGCGTGTGAAACTGCAGTTAAAGATGGCTAGACTTGGTATCCATGGTCGGATTTCAAATGTATGTCCATGAGTTGATTCAAATTTGTCTTTGGAGACACGTGGCGAAGGATCGAACTGCTGTCCAGTGATCGTCCTATTCATCATCAGGCTGTAATCTTTAAAACAATTTGAACCACGAGTTATCGTTGCTTGGTTAGCATTTGCATGATTTAATACATGAGCTCGATTTGTTGAGTTTAAAGTTGTATGCATCTCGTTGAAAATGTTAGTATTCTGGACCACAGCTTGCTCTTTTGAGTTTTCCTGTTCTGTGGACTGGTTCCTGAGCAGCAGTGGTTATAAAAAAAACAAAACTGTCAGGTTTTGCTTTCACGGCTGCATTATCAGTTGCTGATCGGTGACAATGAGGCCTGGCACACTGATTCACGTTACTGCCTGATTGGCAGTTTGATTCATGTTACTGGTTATATAATTAACATGCTGTTGGAAGCAGCAGTGTTTAAATTAAATTGTTTTTGTTGTGTTGAGCAGATAATATAACTTTTTAAATTGTAGAAATATAAAGTATATGCTCCACTTAAAAGTTTCACTTTCATTAGTTAAAGCTGTGTAAGCACTGAGGAGGCGATGTATAAATATCCGAGCAGAAACTCTGCACAGTGAAGGATAAGTGATGACGGTTGAACCTCCACTAACCCCTGCCTCCTTTCTTCTACACAGAGGACGACTCAGCGTGGTGCGGTGAACTTCCTGTCGGCTGACCACCTTCATTCCAGGTGAGTAATGCTGCACAAACTTGCTGTAGCAAAAATAGTTTGGACTCCCATAGTTTGGTTATTTTCTCTGAACGAATGACGTTTACGTCGACCATAAAGTGCTTCAAATGTTAGGAATTCCCAGACACCAGGTCAGATCAGTCCTGGTGTCAAAAGCTGTCTTTTGATTGAAGAGTCCTACGACCCGCTTCACTTCATTTCCATTTTAAATGGCCTCTGGTGTTTTGTACGACTGAGTGCTCCCTCAGTGTGGGTGGGATTGTCAGAGTAAGGTGGCTCGACACACCTGATGTCTAGTTATTTTTTTTAAGCACAACATCTAAGACATTAAAGTGACACGAGTTAAAGTGAGCCAGAACAGGCTTATTTGAGGAACAAAATGAAAGCAAGTCTGTGCAGCTGTATAAAATGGCTGTTTTAAAGCGGTCGATACCAGGATTCATCCAATGACGTAGCTACCTGGCCATTTAATGGCCTCTAGCTTGCAGGTGTAGAATAAGCCTTGGCTTGCATGGAAGCTTGGCTGCTGGGTCCCAAGACCTGAGCTGGAAGTGAGTAGGATCACCCAGCAGAAAGCCTCAACTGAGTCCATAGACAGTTGTGAGATCTTTTACAGAACATCACAGTCCAGCCTTTTGTGCTGCAACTCTGATGATGGGATGTAAAAATAAATAGTTAAACATTTATCATAGAGACAGTTTACAGAAGGCTCCGTTCTGTCGGCACAGTTTGAGCTCTGGTTCTGTCCGGTGGACCACAGAGCTCCTACAGTGCAAAGAGTAATTATTTCTCCTGCAACCCACTGCTGCCAACCCTCTGTAGCAGTGTTACTAATGAGAAGTGACAACTGGAAGACGTAAAATATCTTTAGTTCATTGAAAAGTTGCTGGTCTTAAACCTTTAACTTGTCTTCCAGGTGCTGGAGGTGAGCTCTGGCCTTCTTGGTAAGTCATGTTTTATTTATGTGACCAGGTGATGTAAGAGTTATGATGAATGGCTGAAAATGTTCAACTGCTCTGAAGTGTGAGTGACAGCTGCCTGTCTGAACAACCTGCTGCTCTCAGA